AGTTTGGTGTTCACCCATTAACTGTGACATTATTAAGTTCAAGTGGTTTACTAAGAACTATATTTTTTCCTTAAAAACAGAATCTTGCTACAATGGGACAGACCCAGTCAAAGAATATTGCATTTGTGGAACTAGCGCAATATATTTAAGCATTTATGTCTGTGGCTAAGTAATTTGTACAGTATTTAAGTAACTTATTAAGTTGTTGATAATAATCCTGTTTCCCACTGGGTTCCACTCCCCCTTAGTTAAAAACTCTCTGTGGTATTTAATTAGATTTTAGGATGATCAAGTAGGAATGCCATCATTAATTTTGGCAAACTTGAGGTTAATGAGAGTAAAGTATGGAAAATAAAGTTTTGAAGACAGGTAATTTGGGATAAATCTACAAACACATTTGAACAGAACTAATTAAATATTTACTTTATCTAAGGGATAGTCACCTGAAATACAGAAGACCTTTCCCATGAATTCAGGGATTTGAATTTTTTAATGCAACAAAATTAAATGTCATATTCAATTTCATTTATTACACAACATGAATATTGACATCATACCCACAAAATCAGATACTGGTGACAATCACACAGTGCTTGAGGCTTGTACAACATGGCAGATTTTTTCAGTTTTCCATTAAAATAAACAACAAATGACTTTAAAAATTAACCACCAAAGCTGAATATTTCATGGAGACTTGATTCACTTAAGTCCTTGCAGTATTTCTTTGTACAATGTAGAGAAAAGTGACCCCTAGTGGAATTCTGATGAAGCACATCTCCCGTGCTTTTCACTCATCCACTCATCCAGGCACAGTTGCTATATGTCTGCTGTGTGCCAGGCATTGCACACATGAATGAAAGAAAATTAAGGCTCAGGATGGTGGAGAAACAAAATCTTGCTCAAAGGTGCAGGAGAGATAGGTAGAGTGGAAGTAGCTGATTTTGCAGCTGACTGAGGGAGAGGTAGTCTGGATAGCTGGACAGAGGAAGGTGGAAGTAGAGAAAAGCCATCCACACAGAGAGGCAGGAGCAACACAGTGCCTTCTGGAATTGCCAGTGGTTTCATTTGGTGAAGTATGAGCAAAGAGGTGTTAAGGTTTGAGCAGCAGGCAAGGAGCAGGACTAGATGGGCAGCAGGGTTTGCCCTTTATCCTATTGGATGAAGTTTCCCAGACTATGTCCTTTGGATATTAATAGTGTTAACAAACACTGCACAAAACCACATTCATATTATGAGTATTAATTGGGTCTTGCATAGGTATGGGAAAGTATTTCAAAATGGGCTTCCTTAGCCATTTGTAGGCCTTTGAAAGGCCATGTCAGATAGATTTTTCAAGTCGAGGGGGGTGGGGTGGGAAATAGAATTGGGAAGTTGGTTAAACAAAAACCCATCATGTGAATATCACTAGTCCCATTGTACAGTTGAGCAGACTGAGGCTTACAAAGTTTAGCTAAATTTCCCATGTTCACATAGCTGGTAAGCTTTGTGGTTGACTGATGCTGGATCCACATTGCCACTCTGATTTGGTGGGCCAGGAGCCCTGCATTTTGGAAGTCATCAGAAAACAGAGGGTGGTTAAAATTATAAGAGTGAGGGTTGTGGAAAACTTCAAGTGGTAGAGCACCTGCCTAGCAAGTGTGAGGCCCTGACTTAAAACCCAGTACTGCCAAAAGCAAAAAGAAAAACTAAACAAAACAATATCATGAGAATGAATGAATTCATCAAGGGAAGTTGAGAGAGAGAGAGAGAGGGAGAGAGAGAGAGAAAAACAGGACAGGATAGGATGAGACGAGAGAGAAAAGGGGCAGAGTTAGAAGCCCAGAGAATAACTTCTGGGAGAACTGGAGAGGAGGAAGAGGTAAGGAAGGCAGAGGGAAGGGGTCAAAGTGGTATAAATATAGCCAGAGAAGAACCATATCCTGTAAAGGGTGGGGGGAGAACCATATCCTATAAGGGGGAGTGGAGAGAAGGAGGGAGGAAAGAAGAAAAGAAAGTTAGAAACAGAGAGAAGAGAGAGAGAGAGAGAGAGAGAGAGAGATTCCAGAAGAAATATTCCACATTTGCAGATACTGAAGAGAATTAAGTGAGGCAAAACCTGAATGTTGATCATTAGGATTGGCTGTCGTTAAGAGGTCATTGCTGTCTGAGAAAGAATCTGAAGCGGAGTGGAGGCAAACTCTCATGAAAGAAGCTGAGGAAGAGCAGGAAGTGAAAATAAGAATGAGCCAGCATGGCCCAGTTTTCTCAAAGCATCAGTGGAGAAGAAAAGGAAGTTAGATGAAGATATCTGTTCAAAGAGGAGTTTCCTCCTATTCTTGAAAAACCCATAATCTGATTGATGCGCTGTGGAGAAGCAGACATGGAAAATGGATAGGGTAATTATCTGAGTAAAGGAGAGAAAGAGGTTCAAGATTGTGGAAGAAAATATTTGGATTGGCCAAAAACATAGATGGGAAGGAAGAAGGAGGGAGGATGGGTGGTCTGTGGATTCAGTCCCCATGTCATGGCTGAGAGGCAGAGCAGCTGGGTGATGGAAAGGATGAGAGTGGCCACAGGGGCAATTGTTCTTCTAACCTGAATTTCCAGGTCAGTGAGACAGAGAGCTAGCTTTGAAGATGCACTGGAACATTAATAGTCGATTACTACACAAACTAAAAGTAAAATTGTTATTATATTACCTTTCAGGGAAGGCATAATAAAGTATTACTACTGAGTATATTTGTGTTACACAAAGAAACTAATTTCCTCAAAATTCTGGAGGCTAGAAGGCCAAGAATCAAGGTGGTGGGCAGGATTGCTTCTTTTGAGTCTTCTCTCTTTGACTCATGAATGGCTTTCTTCCCCTTTCTGTCTTTACATGATTTTTTTCTCTGTGACTGTGTCTTGATCTTTTTTTAAGGACACCACTCACATTGGATTAGACACACCACAAAGACCTCACTTAACCTTAATTACCTCTTTAAAAATACTATCTTTGAATACAGCCTCAGTATTCTGAAATATCCGGGTGGGGACATACAATTGGGAGAAGGGTGTGCTATTCAGTCTATCACAATTGTTAAGAATTTCAAGATGACAACTGCAGAGTATTAAATTCCAAGCTCAGTGTGCACGGAGCCCTGTGTGACTGCATGGGTGAAGCCAGCCCTGGGATGGGAGAATGATGGTATGGGAGTAGTGATGTCGAACTAGAAGCATCTAACTCTTTTTTCCCAGACCTACAAGTGTCAGCTCATGCATGAAACAGGCATCCTTCCCTGGGCAGAGACGTAAGAGACGTCAAGCAAGTATCCTTGTTTTGTTAAGGCAATATGTGGTGAGCAAGCTATGTCAGAAAATACGTGGACACACTTGTGTCTTTCCACAATGTCAGAATTTATTGAATAACAACAAATTCACAAGCTGTGTCAATTTTGTTGGTGTCTAGTACTAGTGATGTCACTTGATAGCATAAGCTATTGGCAACACAGTTTCTTTTTTCCTTTTTTTGATAGTACTGGAGTTTTGTACTTGGCTTCATATAGGTAGGCACTCTGCCACTTGAGCCACTCTGCCAGTATTTTTTGTGTTAGTTATTGTCAAGATAGGCTCTCACAATAGCCCAGGTCTGCTATTTAAACTGTGATCCTCCTGATCTCTACTTTCTGAGCAGTTAGGATTACAGGTGTGAGCCACCAGCACCCAGCAACACAGTTTCTTTTATTCCAGTCTTAATTACTAACATTAACTCTCCGATCACACATTACACTTCACACAATGACAATATATAGACAATGCTAATAAATAAATAAATAAATGAAGAAATAAAGGAGGTTAAAGAGGCTGCAGAGTTTAGAAGACTGTGTTGGAGACACAGGCAGAGAGCTGATACAGATCAAGGAAGATGTCTGTGGAGGAAGTGTTTCTGTAGGGGACCAGATAAGAAGTTTTACAAACCACAGACAAAAGCCGTCAAATGCATGTCCAGGCCACAGGCCATTTCCAGTGTCAGTTTGAAGTGGGCAGTGTGTCATAGGCAGGAGAAACTTGAGTCTGGGGACAGAGACTTATGTCCTTGCCTTGACAATTTTCCTGGATGAGATTCATGATGAGTGACCTGGTGACTGTCAGTATGCCTGGCAATTCTAAGTCTTGAAGTGATCCTCTTTTTATGGTCCCTGGGGTTACATCTGGTGTGATTGATGAGTTCATGTGTCTTGGGTTTCTGAGATGGTTTGATATATTTGCAGATGTAATTGTTTATTGGCACAGATAAATTATTTATCACTTTGTGCCTCGTGGTGTGGTGACAGATGGTAGTTGCTTACTTATATAAACAAGATGTGGGACCATTCTGTTTTGGCCTTTATATTCAAAATGGAGTAGCTCAGGTCAAAACCATTGCTTCATAAAGGGAGTAAGTCAAGC